CAGGGGCGCAGGGCGGAGGCGGCGGGCGGCCGGGACGCGCGCAGGGAGCTGCGCCGCATTTTGGAGAAGTATTTATAATGCAGCGGCGCCGGTGCAGTCGAGGCGCCCGGGGTCCCGCAGGGTCCTAGCGTCCACTGCATTGGCTGCCGAGGGTCACCATGTGATCTCGGGGGTGGGAGCAGACGCCGCCTCCGCGCCCGCCCGATGGCACACTTGGGCTGCGCGGCGGGCGGACCGCGGGAGCACGGTGGGGCCGGGCGACGAGAGTGCGAGAAATCGGCTAGGCCAGTGGTCCTCAGTGAGCGCGCGGGCGAGCGGCAGCGAGGACAGGGCGCTCGGAGAGCGCTGCGTGGGGGGCTTGAGGCTCGCCCGGAGGACAGCGAGTGATGGACGCCTCCCACCCCGCCCCTAAGCACCCGCAAAGCTGCCGCTGCGCTCGGGCCTCCGTGCCTGCAGCAACGCGTCCTCCTCCTCCGCGGCCGCTGGCAGCAGTCACGGATGTGTCTCCATCTCCCACCCCTTTGTCTGAATGCGGTGCCCGGCCGAAGTCCTCGGGAGGGGCATCGTGCTCTCCGGGCTGGTGCCCTGCGAGCCTGTGGTCGGGGCCGAACGGACTGAGGCAGTGAGGACGAGGTTGAAGTGGGGTATGATGTCTGCGCCTCTTGACGCAGGGCTGCACCCCACCCTACTCCAATCTGACACCCGACCGCTCCCGGCAGCAGGCAAGCTGGATTGCAGGACCCCTCCCGGCTCGGCCCCCGCCTTCCGCGGCCCGCGCATGCGCCCCGTGGCCTTGGTGCAGGTGCAGCGGGGGCTCGCATCTGAACCGCGTCTCGTGGTCCCCCCCCAGAGCAAGACGTGCAGACGCAGCAGACTAAGCACGCATGAGGTGGGGTCTAGTATCGAGACTGGGGAGCGCATAGTGGCATATTCTCTTTCCTGGGTCACAGGGTTGGGCACCCCCGAAGCCGAATTCGCCCACATGATCGCGGAGACCCTGACGTCTCCGGGCCTGAGAACCCTCAGTCTCCGTCATACCGCACCAGAGTTAGAGCCAGCACAGTGGCTAAGATCACTTAGATACTGGAGGGGCCTGGCCCGCAACCAGAACCTGGGAACAGGGTGTGGAGAATCCACCACCCAGGGTCCTCAGCGCAAGAGTGCTGGGGAGAAGAGGGACAGGCTAAGGAGGATTTCCCTCGGTGGGTTTTCAAAACACAGGTGCATATCCCGGCTGTGACCTTCCAGAGCCCGGAAGCTAAATCTCTAAAACTTTCAAAGGAACTCACTGATGGTACCTGAACAGGCTGAGACCCCTGACCAGCAACACTGGCCTCTTCTGGGTCCTGAGTTTGGCCGGGTGGTATGCAGGAACTGTGCCGGCCTGTGAGGGGGTTCAGGCCCGGTGAGGGAGGGTGCTGGGAGAAGAGGAGATTGGGCATTGAGAAATGAGGTGAAGCCGAGTAGGTCTGACTTAGGACCCTAGGCTTGAGGGTCACTGGGGACGTTGAAGCCTTGGAGGTAACAAAATGGTCTAGCCTCTGTAGGGACTCGTCCCAAACCCCGAACCGAGCTTCTCCTTCGTTGTTCTACACCGCCAGGTTCAGGGGCCAAGGCTCGTCTCAATGCGACCTTGATAGCCCTTCCTGTTCTGCAGAGGTCCTGTCCGCTGGTCGGCCTGACTACGCCCTTTAGTGCCTAATCTTCCTTTAACCGTGTGCACACCCCCATCCCCGGTGGCCATGGTGGAGGCCTGTGCTGTGACCAACTAGAACATATCATAATCATCTGGAAGTGTAGAGGAGCCAGGACTGGGGTCCAGGCACAGCCCTTCAGAAGGGCTTGGAGACCCAAAGACTTTGCACAGACAGCGGGGCAGTCAGTGGCCCTGGTTAGCCTGGTTCCTCCTCTCTGTCGTGGGGCGCCCTCTGCCGGTATCATTTAGGGCATTCCCGGGTGGCATCAAGGTCCTTTCTCATAAAGACCCAGCCTGGAGCCACTACCTCTCCTGAACTCCCAACACACCCATCTGCCTGGGTCTCCAGGAAGACTCTAGAGACGCAAATTGACTTCCTCACGCCCAGCAGCCCAGAAGCGCCTGCCTACAGCTAGGTAGGGTTGAAGACCTCTGCCCAAATTTCAGAGACAGAAGTGGGGGTGGGCGCCCTGAACCCCTACACCTCAACATTCGCAGGTAGGGATGTTTCCTTAATAGGGCCACCCTCCTCCGAGGGTGTGTCCTCAGTGATGTTGGGGACAGATAACTTATCCTTGCCTGGCATGGCTACCCCAGAGTCTATGTGGGGGGAAGATGAGCCAGGCAATGGAAAGACACACAGCCAAGGTGGTCCTGGAAAATGGTCCTGGGTTGATTTACACCTGAAGGGTATGAGCTGCTGACGACTGGGGGAGGACAGAAGCCTTAAGAGAGGAGAAGAACCTTAAAAAAAAATACAGAAGAAAAACAAGTCCAGCATGCCACTAACAGATGTCACCAAATGGGAATTCTGCAATAATATCTCGAGGTCAGAGGTCCTGGAGTCCCAGACTTGACCTGCCTAGCACTCTGACTGTAAAACAGTCTCCAGACAACCTCAGGGTCTGCCTCTTAGGAAAGCCACCCCAGAACTCCACCTCTTAAGAGTCACATGGCATCACTGCAGCGGCAAAGTGAACATACTTAGAAAACCATACCTACCCCACCAAGCATCCTTCTAAATGTAGACAGAGTCCCCACACTGTGTTGGGCCTGGCCAATTCAATCACACTCAGCCGTGTGCTAGGGTAAGGACATATGCTAATAAAAAAGAAAAACGAAACAGGGCAGTGGGTGGCACCTGCCTTTAATCCCAGCATTCAAGAGGCAGAGGCAGGTGGATCTCTCTCTCTCTCTCTCTCTCTCTCTCTCTCTCTCTCTCTCTCTCTCTCTCTCTCTGTGAGTACAAGGCCAGCCTGGTCTACAGAACGAGTCCCAGGACAGCCAAGGCTACACAGATAAGCCCTGTCTCGAAAAAAATAAACAAACAAAAGTAAGGAGGAGGGCTGGAGAGATGGCTCAGAGGTTAAGAGCATTGCCTGCTCTTCCAAAGGTCCTGAGTTCAATTCCCAGCAACCACATGGTGGCTCACAACCATCTGTAATGGGGTTCTGGTGTCCTCTTCTGGCCCTCAGGCATACACACAGACAGAAAAATGAATACATAATAAATAAATGAATGTTTAAAAAAAGTAAGGAGGAAAAGAAAACAGTCTAGTATCCTTTATGAGCCAACTCTACCGAAAGAGGAGGAGGGGGCAGGTATAGTGGCTCCCAGCACTTGAGAGGTGAAGACAGAAAGATCAGGAGTTTGAGGGTGTTCTTAACTACCCAACAAGGAGGTGAACAGCCAGAGCAACATGAGGCCTTGTCCCCCACCCCAAAAAAAGGAAGGGTGATAAGGCTGAATTATGAAGCAGGTCACAGAAGCCCAGGGGTTAGCTTAGGACAGCAACCAGTGCATGCAAAGCCTTTGAGGTGGGGGTGACATTACAGATAGAATATGTCAACAGAATTATTTTCAGACAGATTGACTCAGAGTTTCCTTCCTGAACATCTTTCTACACAGGCCACAAAGAGTGGAGGACCTAGAAAAAGGTGGCTCTGCCGGAAAAGAGAAAGGTAGACAGTGGTATAGCCAGTGGGTCGCAGAAGCTAGTTAGGGGTAGCAAGAGAATGGAGGACCGTAAAGCTGGATCAGGTGGGGTCTTTCGTCACTTCCACTGGAACAGAGAACCTTGATGTGTTTATTAGGTACAGCACGGGGGGCGGGGGGGAGCTGTCTACAGGTCATAAGTTTCAGGCTACAGGTAGCCAGAAGCTGCAGCTGCTAGGCTTACACACGTCCACGAATCATTATCAACACTCACACACAAATTCACTCGGGACTGCCTCTGCTCCTGAGAGGGCAACCAGCATGGGGATGCACAACTGTCTGGGATCAGGAACAGAAACCCAGGCAAATACAAGATATCCTGTGCTCACGGCTTGGGTTCGGTGCCGGACAATAAGCAGGCAACAAGGGTCAGTTAGTCTAACACT